TCTTTTAAACTATCAATTTACTTTGCGTCTCTTTGAGGAAGTCCTCTTTGAATTCATTAGTGTGCCATCCTGGGTGTTCTCAGGAGAGGTTCCGACTTTCTCCCGCTGTACCTTCTCCCCACTTATTTTTATTTTTGGATGACTGTGTGATTCCTGATTAGATCATGAAGTTCAAAGTGTTTATTCCCCTTGCTCCATGCTGAGCACTAGGAGAGCAACACAGTGGGTGCTGGTGACAGCATGTGAATAATGAACCTAGGGAAGGGGTGCTTCAGGGAGAGGAGGCATTTCTTCTGCTAGAGGTTGATGTCCACCCCCCTTCCCCCAAAGTTTGTGCTATTAACTTGCCAGTGGGGACCCATAGCTTTTCATCTTCCTTTTTCACCCACATTTTCTGAGCCCCGATAGTGTGCCAAGCCCTTGCTGGTGCTTTGGATGCTATAGCGCCTCACACCTCTCCCCCCTTCCTACCCTCACCTCATTAGGCAGGTAAAGAGCGCAGGCTTGCAATTTAATACCCATTCTCCATTTTTATTTTTTGTGCCAATCCTGTGGCTTGAACTCAGGGCCTAGGCTCTGTCTTGAAGCTTTTGTGCTCAAAGCTAGCACTTACAACTCGAGCTAAAGCTCCACTTCTGGCTTTTTGTTGCTAACTGGAGATAAGAGTCTCTTGGACTTTCCTGCCTGGGCTGGCTTTGAACCATGATCCTCAGATTTCAGCCTCCTGAGTAGCTAGGATTATAAGTGTGAGCTGTTGGCACCCAGCTTAGTGCCCATTCTCGCTCTGCCTCAGACCCACTGTCTGATGTTTGGCGAATGCCTTCTCCTCTCTGGTGCTCACGAGAATAGAATGATGGCTACTTTGTAAGGATTAATTATGGTAATGAATAATACATCTAGCCTGTGAGCCATGACTGTCAGTGCTGCTTCTGTGAGAGGAAAACAACGTTTTGAGCCTCATGGAGGATCTCAGGGTTTCTGCCCTGGGAGTAAAGTCTAAGGCCTATCTGGCCAAGGCCTCCTGAGTAACCTGGCTCTGGTCTAATGTGGATATTTCATGGACCAGTCAGTCACATCTCTTGGTCTCAGTTGCGCCCTCCCTTCCTCCTTCCCTCTGGTGTCTTCCTTTCCCTTTCTTTCTTTTTCTTTGCAAGCTACAGTCTTGTATGTCCTAGCCTCTTCACAAAGCTAGGGAAGGAGGTTAAAGGATGACAGAGAAGTAGTCTTAGAAAATAAAGTTATGACTGGGGTGCTGATGGCACCCTGTCTGTGATCCCAGCAGCCTAGGTAGGAAACTTCATGAGATCCCTTCTAAATGAGGAGCAGGAAGTTGTGGCACGTACAGGCTTATACTGCACCAGGGACCCAGCAGGAAGAGTGCCTGCCTAGCAAGCTCAAGGACCCAAATTCAAACCCCAATACCACTAAAAATGGAATCTGGTTTTAATATATGGCAAATGGACCAGTTAGCCATACTGTCATAAGGCTGGCAGCCGGACACGTTGTGTTCTATGGTGGGCATAGGGCCTTGGGGGCCCCATGTCCCTCACGGGGCTTGCTTGACACTTTATCCTTAGTCTTGAAGCTGTGGAAAGCAGCATGTGCTCTCTCAGACGCCATCTGGAATCTGCTTAGGACTGTCTCCAACCAGCTGTGTGTCCTTGGGCAAGTCACGTTTCCACTCTAGGCTTCCTATTTCTCATCTGTAACATGTGGGGGTCGGATTAGAGTGATCTCTACATTCTACCTCTCCATGCCCTGATGTCGTGGGCGCCTGAGGAGAGGACCGTGGTCCCCCCGTGGCTGAGCACGCTGTGGCGCACTCTGGAGGAGAGGGATGTTTGACGCTGATGCAGTTGTTAAAACAGAACAGGCTTCTGAACTGTAGCCAGAATATAATGAATCCCATTTCTGTAGAACAATGATGACGGGACCTGTCATGTAGCGGGGTTGTTGACGTGGCTGGCCCATTTGGCCCAATCTCCTTTGCAACCAATATAAATTAGATACTCTGGCAAAGTAGTTGGATGTGGTGCCTGAGGAACTTCCGAGCAAAGCCAGGTATGTGAGTCACCTCGTTGGCTCCGCATTCTCTGAGACTCATGAGACTGAGGTTCAAGTTTGTATCTGCCTGGGTTCAGTGGGTAGGGGCTTTCTTCTAGACCCCGTGCAGATTCCAGACAATCAAAGGTGGAAGGGGTGTTTGGACCCACGTGGTCAAAGGCTCCCATTTTACAGATGAGAACCTCATTGGCTTGGAGGGGAAGAGTTTGCTCAGGACTTGGTGATGAGTAGAGATACAGCAGCTTCTGGAGTGCTTTATAGCTGACACTGCACCCCCTAGTGGCTCCTACCTGTTGCTACAGGTCCAGCAGTTTCTGATGTCTCTGCCAGCCGGTCTGGCTCCTTCCCTAGAAGATGTTTTTGGCAGTCTCTCCACCCTTAGTCACTAGGGCCAGTGTCTCAGAGGCTGAAGTGTTAGGCCTTTATTTCAAGGACAAAAGGGAGCCATCCGAGGCCCTTCTGAATAAGAGGCCCTGAGTGAGCCACGTGTGGCTCAAGGAGGGCTGTGGTTACGGGAATAGGACGAGAGGACAGGGAGGGTGCTTGCTTCCAGGCAGTGTGTCATTTTCCTGGGTGCCCGCATAAGATTCTAAACAGGAGAGTTTCTTTTTTTAAATTTAATTTAATTTTATTTGTGAACGTACTGTACAGAGGGGTTACAATTACATGGGCAGGATAATGCGTACATTTCTGGGAGAGTTTCTTGACTGGAGGCACAGCGGGTGGTTATGAAGATGAAGTAGGTGGAGATGGGGAGGAGGTTGCAGTAGCAGCCCAGCCCGAGACAGGACCAAGGTATAGCTTCTGCTTTGCAGACAGAATCACCAGGTGGTGACACTGAGGAGAAAGGGGGTTGATGCCGGTGCCTAGGGCTGTGACTGGACCGTGACAGCGTGCGACTGGCTAGCTGTCATAGGAGCAGGGTTGCTGTCATCATCTGTCCTAAGGATCTGGCACTGGGCCTCTGGCCTCTGTGTGGGAATCTGTCAGCACAATGTCATCTTTTCTTCTGCTGCCAAATCCTAGGAGAGCCATTAGTGACCCGAGGCTGGTCCTATATTTGGGGAGAAGTCCCTTTGCTGGGGGAGTTTGACTTTTCGCAGTGCTGGGGTACCCGCCACCCCAATGCTGGAGAGATTTATTATTTCACTAAGGGGCCAGCTAGGCACATAGTACATTGGGAGGAGGTTTCAGAGCTGGGAGTTCAGAGCCGCGGAGGGCCTGGAAAGGCTTTCCTGAAGGGTCAGGTCTTCTGAAGATGGACTTAGATAGGGAAAGAACTCAGGGAGGGAAAAATTCAGAGCAGGAGGCTAGGATCTGGGCATTCAGGAAGACATTAAGGCCAACTCCCAGGAGAGGAGCTCAGGACTTCTGGGAACTTAGGTCCTTCTGGGGCTCCAGCAGCTTAGTGCATGGAGCAGGTGACAGAGTAATTTACAGGGACTAGAAGGAGGCTCACAAGACACAGCCCCTCTTTTAAAGGGGACATTCTAGGGAAAGGAGTGTCAAGGCTCACTGGTTAGCACTGTGTCCCTGTTTTACTCTGGGTCCCCAGGTATAGGACTTGATTTGGGAAACCCTGTACTTGCCCCCAAAAGGATCCAGAGGTTTGTAATTTGGGGCGGGGGGGGGGGGCGGGGGAAGGGAGGAGAGGGAGGATGGACTGCAGAAAATAGAAAGGCTGGCTTCCGCTGGCGACAGTGACCTGGCCAAACTGAGGGGCTTAGGGACGGCCAGAGCCCATGGCCCACCCGTTCCTCAGCTGGCTGGTTCCCCCATACTTCCACGAGGCTCCTCACAGAAGAGCCTGGCTCTTTTCTCTTACCATCCTGGTCATCCAAGAGTTAAAAGTTGTTCACTCTGCTCCTCCAGGCCCCTGGGAGCCCTGAAGGGTGGGAGCCAGCAGGGCCAATTCAAGGAAAGGGCTCAGAGAGGAACGCGACCTGAAGGCTGGTCTCACTGGGCCAGAAACCAAAGGGTTAACAGATGCAGCCGTGCTGATAAAACGCCCCAAATTCCTGGTTCTGCCTGCAGTGGGAAGGGCATCTGGCAAATGTCAACCATAAAAAATACATCTTAATGGCACATGATGTACAGCTACCGTGGGGCACGGCTACGTGAAGCAGGTTTGGGGCGGGACTACTGTGTGGCCACCAGGGCCTTGTGCTGCACCTTTCAGGCTCTATGCTTTGTCCTGCTGGCGTGACTCAGGCACCTCCAGCTCTTGGTCCTTGAGGGTTAGGGCCTTGGCCTTCCCTGATGTTGTTGACCTGTGGCTGTCTTCTACCTTGGTACATGGAGCTGTGGGTCGGGGGAGCTCCTCACACTGGACGCAGCAGGCAGCCTGACTCCAGCCTCGGCTGTGAATGCTGACATTTCCCCAGCTCCCGCCCTGCCAGCCCTGGGCTCTGGAACCGCCTTGGGTGCTGATCATTAGGAGAGGAGAGGGCTGAGCACTGGCAGCATTTCTAGAAAGGGCAGGTCTCAGGCAAGGGGCATGGGGTATGTGTGTGGGAATCTAGTGGGACACCCAGGGGATACTATGATCTATTGTGTACATTTATCAATGAGGCTCAGAGAAGTTGAATGACTTCCTTGAGGCCATCAGAATCCCCCACTACCCTGACTGAAGAGCGCTGAGCTCACGGGAGCTCTTTAAACTGTAAAGGATTTTTCCTGAGGAAAAATAGCCTGTCACACCAGGGCAGTCCCGGGCAGGCCCTTGTGCTGGGGCAGAGAGAAGCCCAAGTAGATCTGGGGGAACAGAGGACCCAGGAGTCTGGGTCCTGGAAGCTTCAGCCATCTCTCCAGGGTTCAGGCTGGTGAGGCAGGCCCTGGGCTTTTAGGAGGATGACAGCCAGCTCTGGCTCAGCTCGCCAAGGTCAGGAGCAGCAGTGTGGACACACAGGGCTCAGTGTGGGACTATTCTCTTCCAGATCATTCTCAACTCCATGCACAAGTACCAGCCAAGGCTGCACATCGTTAAGGCTGATGAGAACAATGCTTTTGGCTCCAAAAACACAGCTTTCTGCACGCACGTGTTCCCAGAGACTTCCTTCATCTCTGTGACCTCCTACCAGAATCACAAGGTACAACACCCCCTTTCCTCCCCCTACCCCCCAGCAGTGACACTCCTGCCCTTGTGAGCTGCAGGTCTGAGGCAGGCCAGTGTGGGACCTCAGAAACCTGCATGCAGAATGGGTGGGAACACACACACAACACACACACACACAGAAACCTGCATGCAGAGTGGGTGGGAACACACACACACACACACACACACACACACACACACACACACACACACACACACACACACACACACACACACACACACACACACACACACACACACACACACACACACACACACACACACGAGGTCCATGCACAAAGTAATAAGTAGAGAGAGCCCGTGGCCAGCAATTGAAAAACTGAGCAGCATGGAGTCTGCCTTGGGGTTGGGCTGTTAGGCAACTTTTCTTCTCTAATCTTCCTCTTCCTGGTGCATCCAAAGGTAGGATTCTGGGCCTGCTGCTAGAGGGGGAGAGAAAGGCCTTTCCAGGGTTCTTCTTGGCACTAGGACTGGCCAGGGGCCGTTAGACAAGACCCAGGGGGCAGTAGTTTAAAATTTAGAATAGTTTCTCACATCTGAGGTTGCAGCTGCCTGGGACAGGGGTGACCCATGCAGGAGTCTGTGCCGGGGAAAAGCGATGGAGGCAGCAGACAGGAGGTGCAGGAGGAAGAGTCGGGGGGAGCAGAGCCAGGAACAAGCCAGAGGTGAATGGCGAAGCGGAGAGGACTGACTCACCAGGCCTCTCGGCTGGCTTAGAACTGGGGCACAGCTTCCCCAGACCTGAGTTCTCAACAGGCCTGGGCTGGAGGAGGAAGGGCCGGGAGTCCATCCTCTCTCCTCCCAGCCTCTCTGCGGTGTGTCCTTTCCTGACAGATCACACAGCTGAAAATTGAGAACAACCCTTTTGCCAAGGGATTCCGAGGCAGCGACGACAGTGACCTCCGCGTGGCCCGGCTGCAGAGGTGGGGTTGCCCCGGCCGTGGGTGAGGTGGGCAGTTGAGGGGCCCTCAAAGCATCTTCACTCTCTCCTCGCCTCTCTCCCTTCCCGTCCCTTCAGCAAAGAGTATCCTGTGATTTCCAAAAGCATCATGAGGCAGAGGCTGGTGTCCAGCCAGCTCGCAGCCAAGCCTGATGTCAGCCCCCTGCACGGCGCCCACCAGGCCCTGCAGCATTACCAGTACGAAAATGGGGCCCACATGCAATTTGCCCCCGCCGAGCCTCAGGACCTGCCCCTCAACACCTTCCCCTCACAGCGGGACTCCAGCCTCTTCTACCACTGCCTGAAGAGACGAGGTACTACTGGTGGGGGTCGGGGGGGGGCATCTCCTCACTACGCATGGGCACAGCCTGAGGGCTTGGGCGCACAGGCAGGCCTTTTCCGTGCAAGAATTCTGGTTCTCGCTTTTACATAGTTTTAGACTGGGGCTGTCACTTACCGGAACAGGGAGGACTTAAAAGTCCTGGGTATGGCTCTCAGCCCAGCAGGATCTGCACAGGGACCGAGGCAGAATGGGGGCCAGGAAGACAGGCGCAGTGCTTGCAAAGGCGAGCCGGGCCTCCGCTTCTCCATGGACAGAGTCATGGTGATTAGTGTTTTACCCCTCCTTCACCCCCGCACAAGTGGACTTAGCAGGCCACTGGGATTCTCTTGCGAATAAGTTTGGAGACTTTCAGTATCCAGACTGTCCTCTCGGCCCTGTTCTGGGGACTAGGCTGGCAGAGTTCTAAGTATCCCCAAGTACAAGTCCCATTTAGAACGCAGGAACAAGCCAACTGTGGCCCTCAGGCCAAATCCAGCTTGCTGCCAGTATTATTTTATTTTTTTTTTTCATTTTTAAATAGTTGAAAAGAGTCAAGAGATTATTTCCTGATATTTAAACACTACATAAAATTCAAATTTTAGTATCACTTACAGTTTAGAGAGCACATCCACACCCACATGTTTACATTCAGGGCCCCTTCACGGGGCAGTGGTAGAGTAGAGTAATTGTGACGTACGCTGGACAGCCCACAAAGCCTAAACTATTTACTATCTGGCCCTTGTTCCTTCCTGACTGGAGCGAGTGGGCCACCTGCCAAATCCACGTGGTTAGTGCAGGGAAAAAGGACTCTGGAGAGGAGGGGTGGCGGGGGAGGAGCGTGTTCCTCCTGGGCAGGGAAGCTGCCTGCTGAGGGGGCCCAAAGGGTGAGGAGAGTGGAGGCTTCAAAGTAGGCCCTGTCTTCTGTGGGCCCACAGCCCTGCAAGTGAATCCCTGGAGAAAACACAAGGGAAGAAGCCAAGATCAGCCACAGAGAAGTGTTCATAAATTCCTCGAGTGGACCGCTCCCCCAGCCCTCAGACTTGGCCCATCCCTGGGACCCAGGGGAGGACATGTCACTCTGCATGGTTAAAGCCTCTCAGTTGAAGATGTTGGAAGCTCAGGCTTAGTTTGTGCTATTGAATGTCACCTTTCCACAGAGCATCTTACCACTCCTTAAGGTAGACAACGGCGTGTCAGCATAGCTGCCACTTCTAGGAGCGCAGCAGGGCTCATGGTCTCTTCTAAAAACAGCAGCAAGCCAGGTGGCTCACACCTGTAATCCAAGCTACTCAGGAAGTTGAGATCTGTGGATCATGGTTCAAAGCCAGCCCCAGCAAGAAAGTCCATGAGACTCTTACCTCCAATTAACCATTAAAAAAAAAAAAAAAGGTAGAAGTGGAATTGTGGCTCAAGTGGTAGAGAGCAAGCTTTGACTTCAAGCCTCAGTAATGGTGTGTGTGCAGACACACCAGCCACTTACCTTTGAGTAGCTTTGGCTTACTCCTCCTTGGGAGCTGAGAATCTGGGTAGAAGCACTTCAGACAGATGTGGTCCCTGGGACTGGTTAGGACTGGCATTTGCCACCTCTCTCCTGAGCCAGGGCTGACCCAGCCTGGGAGTGCCAGTGCACATCAGGGCCTCTAAGCATCCTAAGAGTCAGGCTGGCCCGGGATGAAAGCTGTGTGCTTCCTGGCTTAGTGCATCTCTCCAGGCCCAGTGCTGTGGTGTCCCCCAGGGCCTGTGGGGTACAGGCCATAATAATCTACTTTTACTTAGCTGTAGCTAATTAAAAGGGGTCTGGTAGTGCCATAGCAATCCCTGGCAAAAGCAGGGGCTGAGCCACAGGCTGGGCTGTCCTGGCATCCAGTGTGGGGGGGGGGGGGGCCTGCCCTGGGCAGGTGGTGGAAATGATGCCTTCTGAAGCTGGCTGCATATTTCTTTGTTTCCCAGCAGACAGCGCCCGCCACTTGGACTTACCTTGCAAGCGGCCGTATCTGGAAGCTTCCTCGTCGGTGGGGGATGATCACTACTTCCGTTCCCCCCCTCCCTACGATCAACAGATGCTGAGCCCCTCCTATTGCAGTGAGGTGACCCCGAGAGAAGCCTGTATGTACTCAGGATCAGGGCCTGAGATCGCAGGGGTGTCTGGGGTGGACGACTTGCCCCCACCCCCGCTGAGCTGTAACATGTGGACCTCGGTGTCACCGTACACCAGCTACAGCGTGCAGGCCATGGACACTGTGCCTTACCAGCCCTTCCCCGCACACTTCACCGCCACCACCATGATGCCTCGGCTGCCCACCATCTCTGCCCAGAGCTCCCAGCCACCAGGAAACGCTCACTTCAGTGTCTACAACCAGCTCTCACAATCTCAGGTCCGTGAGCGGGGGCCCGCGGCCTCCTTCCCAAGGGAGCGGGGCCTCCCGGCAGTGTGTGAGAGGAAGCCCCCCTCCCCACACCTGAATGCCCCCAATGAGTTCCTCTACTCCCAAAGCTTCTCCTTGACCCGGGAATCTACCTTACCGTACCACTCGGGAATGGGGACCGTGGAGAACTGGACTGACGGATGACTGGCCAGTCTCCTAGACAGCCCCAGGACCTTGTCAATTCAGTATTGACCCCTGTAATGGCCAGCACTACCAAGGAACACAGGAAGGTATTTCAGAGGGTGTGTGTACGCCTGTGTGCTTCTGCATGCGTGCATTTATTTGGAGAGTGTCTTCTGACACACCACTGAGACCATGACAAGGAACACAAAACCCCACAAAAAACAGAAACACCTCCCAACTGTCTTAAGAAGTGATTTTGGCTGTACAAGTTGGGTCCATTGTTACCTGATACTTCTTGCCATCCTGGTGGATGGGAGAGGAGTCAGGGTTCGTGTGAGTTCCTCAGGGGCCAGGTAAGGTCTCTGCCACAGGGAAAGATTATCTTAAATTGGGGTCCAGGGTCTCTGTGCACATCTTAAGTATTCCTTAGCTTTCCCCTTGTAAGAGGAGCTGCATATCTTATGGGGAGCAGGAGCCCCCTCCTTTGGCATCTGGAGATTCTGTGAGACTAGAGGGGGCCTCGGTTAGAGGCCTGGAGGGCAGAGGGTCAACTTTTAGAAAGGGTCTGGTGCCATGTCATCATTCAGGTTTTGTCATACAGTAAAAAGCCCTTCCCTCTGGGTCCCCAGCATACCATTCTCTCTTATGTATAAAACTCAGCCTGTCAGGCTGAGATTTAAATGCACCTCACCTGGCAGTGTCCCCTGGAGACCAGAGCTGATGGCAGGCATCTCCGGGGCCTATTCTGTTCCCAGAAAATATAAACCTTGGGAGAGAAAGAAAGGTGATAGGAAATAGATAATTGAGAAAATTTTCATTTCTTCCAGAAAGTTCAGCCAGTGAGCACAGACAATTCTTCTCAAGTGGGGTGAGTTCAGTCCTCAGCCCTGTTCGCTAGCATTGAATGTCATCAGACCATTGGAGTGGTTGGTGTGAAACTAAATCAGATTTGGGAAATCACAAGACTTCTTTGCATGCCGACTAGCTATTTATATATTATATAAATAAATATATAAATATATAAATATATATATCTCACAAATGCGAGCCACATGTCAAATTCAGCTTTGCTTTTTTTTTTAAACAAATGAATAAACTTAATAAAAATGAACGCTGGAGGGAGTATTTGGAAAGACATCTATTTAAATTTTTATTACCTGTTTGATGTTAAAAACTAAGAATGGTTTAGATAAAACGTATATATATATTATATTATATAAACACACACTACAAATAAAGCTCTATTAGAAAACACATTAGCTAACAGGTGATGTGGAATGTGAAGTGTCTTGTTATATAGCATGGACATTTTACTTTACATATCGGAACATAAAGCCATCTTACAACTGTGAAGCGTGTGGATGTTCTTTTTTACTGGCTTGTTGTTTTGTGGCCCAGCTGTGGTGTCTGCCTCCCCTTTAGCCTCCTTCCTCCCCCTGTAGGGCCCTTAGTGCCTCTCAGCTCCAAGTGAAGTAGATTCAAGAGTACCTCTCATACCATGCTATTCCCCAGATTATGGGCCAAGATTCCAGGACCCACAAAGACCCCAGAAGGGCAAGGGCGGGGTGGGAGCAGTAAAAAGCTCTGTTACCTTTTAGCAGTAAACCTCAGTAATCTGGGGGAAGTAGTCTCAGAAGGAGAGAATTTTTGGTGGGATTCATTCAGCGGCTTCAGAAAAGGAACCAAAGAGCAAGCTAGCTTCTTGGAGTTGCCGGATATGAGTTCATCAGCCATATTCACTTGAGCAATGGATGAAGCAAAGCTTGGCAAAGCCCTCCTCCTGCTCACTCCTTTGCCAGATCCCCAAAGGTGGATTGACTACAAGATGTAAAGAGGGGGGGGGAGAGATAAAACCCAGTCTAGGTTCACCCCTAGCAGATGCCTCCCTTGTTGACATGCCCTTCCTCTTGCCCGTCACCTCCACCTCAACTCTACTCACCATCTCCATTAAACACTGAAGTTCCCTGCTGGATAAGTGGTCAACCTTCTCCCATTTCCAGGGCCCTCAGAGGGTACTGGCTGGGCTTTCTCCTACAGAATGAGGAGCTGAGCTTACCTGTTAAGGATGGCAAGATTCATTGATTTTTTTTATTTTTTTAAAATCCAGTCCTGGGGCTTGAGCTCAGGGGCCTGGGCACTGTACCTGAGCTTCTTTTGCTCAAGGCTAGCACCCTACCTCTTGAGCCACAGTGCCATTTCTGGAGTTTTCTATTTATGTAGTACAGAGGTTTCGAACCTAGGGCTTCATGCATACTAGGCAAGCACTCTACCACTAAGCCACATTCCCAGCCCCAAGCTTCCTCCTTTATCTGTTGATTTCCTCTCCTTGGGCTTTTTAGTCACAGAGAAAAACTTAAATGAGCTTGGCTCAGGACAGGAGGCTCTTCCCTTTCTATAGACAAGTTACTCCACACCTAGAACCCAGGCACTGGGATCTCCCCCCTCTGCTCCCTTCCCCCTCTCCTCTCAAGAGCTGGCAGAGTTGAAGAAAGCTACTCCTTAAGGAGTATTTTGCTTTGAAGCAGCCCACAGCTTCCTACCAAACTTTCTGGGAAGTATGAGGTCCTCGGCCTGCCCCACCTGGGTATGGTGAGAATGGGGCCCCGCAGTGGGATTTGTGGAACTTTCCTGCCCCTCTGAATCAACAACTCAATAAAAAGGGGGCACATGGGATCTCCTGGAACAAAGGGCACTATTCAGTAGCGCCAGCAGGTCATACATCATCGGCCCAGAAGCCTGCCACATGACAAGTGTCTGCTTCTGCTGTGCCCTGCCTGGGAAAACCTCGATTACCATCCAGCCTCCAGGCCATGGGCAGGTGGCCTCCAGGGCTCTGCTTCAGCCCAGGGCTGAGCCTGGGCCACTTAGCCACCCAACGTCCCTGAGCGGCAGAAGAGCCTGCAATCACACCAGAGAAAGAGAGAAGAAGAGAAATTGGGTCAGACTGACAAATTGTTAAAAAAAACCAACCCAACTTCCCAGTCTAGAGCTGGGCCTCAAAGGGTCAAGAGGCCTCGGCTCCCCCCGACTAATGGAGCCTGCTGGAGGAGTAGCAGCCTGGCCTTGCAGTGTCTTATCTTACAACATAAAATTAAAACCCACTTAAAAGGCCGGAGGGCATGTTAACATTCTCCCTGCTGTCTAATTGAAGTAGTTCCCAGTGCAAAGGATTTCACTTGAAAGATGTCTCCCTCTGAGCTGGGGGCTCTCTGGGCTCACTCATGGGGCCTGGGGAAGGGGGTGAGGAGGGAAAGAGGTTGTCATTTTAAAGATCTGCATAAGCTCAGGCTGAGGGAAGAAGAAGAAGAAAAAAAAGCCCAGTTTCTGCTCACCATTTTCGCTCAGGTGGCAGGTGGCGACAGCCAAGGTTAGAACAGGCTGGGTTGTTTTGTATTTTTTTTTTTTTAATTTACAAATTCATTAGCAGCCATGTCAGTAGAGGCCAGACTCCTGACAAGAAGTGCCAGTAATGATTCTAATATGGCAAGCCCTACAGTCCCGAGGTTTCTATTCCACACCCCACACCCTCCCCACCGACCCCTATGCAAATAGATTACAGGTCTCCAAGGCATACGGAATCAATCAGTGATATCCTGTAAAGGTGATGAACTTGCACTGGCCATCCTGAGTAATGGGAACCAGTCAGCCCCAAGCTGGCTGCGACTGAAAGCCAAGGTGACAGCTATTAAGCAATTGTGCGCAGAACAAAATGGCAGAGGGGCCGGGTAATCAATTCAATGTCCATGGGCAGCCCAAGAAATGGCAGCATCTGTCGCAGCTGATTAGAGAAGCCTGGGCTGGAACTTTCAATGTAAGCCCATCGCAGATCAGAAACAGGCCCTGGGATGAAAAGGGAAAGAACTGTCTCCTGAGAAGCGGGCGATGAACGACTCTGTTTTATGTGACTGTGTTTGTCCTTCTCTCCTTGAAGAAAGACTAAGGGGTGTATGGGGGGGGGGAGCCCGCAGTTTAGAGATTAGATAGTTTTCTTTTAAGCCATTTATCATTATGAAAGAAAGTAGACAGGGCAGGGGCAGAAAAAAAATCTCCAGTGGGATTTCTGCAAAGTCTCAGGAAGGAGGACCAGGCTCACAGCCTGCAGCTCTAACAGCCCCTGCCAGCGACCACAGCCTCGGGTCTGTACAGCCTCCAGAGCCCCTCTACTCCAACAAGGGCAAACAGGCCCTGGAGCTCAGAGATCATAGACATTTCCCTGCAGAAACCCTAGACCAATAAGCTGTATCATTTGTGAAAATTAAAGCCTAAGTCAGGATGATGGAGAGAGGAGAAAAATGGGAATGGCAAAGAGGAGAAGATGGTGCAAAGTGCCAGCAGGTAATGCCTGGGCTCCTCTGGTCTTTGCTGAACAGCTAGGACCCTTGCTGTGTCTGCGGCCTGTCAACCCCATGCAGCCTGCTGGGAAATTGTGGGCTCAGGCTTGTTGTGTTATGCTCCTGGGTATGGAGGCCACAGGGTTGAGGCCACTAGATGCTTGCAGACAAGAAAGTATGGAAAACCAGTGGAATGGTGGAGGGACGGAGAAGCCTGGGAGCCAAGGCAAGGAATGCAGAAGCATGAGGGAGAGGTCGTTTTGTTTTTGTGCTGGCACACTGGGGTTCGAACTCAGCTAGCACTCTACCACTTGAGCCATCCAGTTCCAGCTGTGAGCTGTGGTTCACTGGAGATAAGAGTCTTACAGACTTTCCTGCGCAGGCTGGCTTTGAATTGCCTGGCTTTGAATTGCCGTCTGTAGTCTCCTGAATAGCTAGGATTACAGGTGTGAGCCACTGGTGCTCACAGGGCTAAAAAGGCCATTTTGGAGCCAAGGGTAGGGTATAAACACCTGGGGCGGGTCTCAGAGCTGGCCTGGAGGTACGGGATCAGGGATGACTAGAAAACCAGAGCAAGGGGTATACGTGCTTTGCTAGATGATTAACCTAGACAAAACGAGCCTCACTCATAAAGCACAAACTAAGTGTTAACAGGCCACGTTTGTCTCGCAGATCAGTGAAAACTGAAGA